AGGCCTGCAGCCATCTTTTCTTTTGGATCTTTGGCCTGCCACACTTTCTATTATTCTACTATGCATTTTCTATTGTGGGGAAATGGGAGGGGGGGTTGTACAGTTGTAGATGATATGTAGCCATAACAAAATTATTTCTAGAAAGACAAGGTCATCCTTTGTTTTTGCATTTCTGTACCTGCCTGGAACTGGATGGGTGGAAATGCGAGCATGGCAGTAGAAGATTGGATCATGTGATGAACTTGTGGGTGTGAGGGCAAGATCTTGAACTTTCAACTGGGTGGGGAAAACCAGGAACTTTTCAGATTCGGGTTTTCCCAGATGGGCCAACATGGCTCTCTTAATAAATTGGAACTTTGAGGAATGATTTGCCTTGGACTCTGATTTAATTATGAATGCTATTTGGAACCCTGACATATATTTTTCCAGTCCAAGTAATCTTTATACCCGCTGGAACAAAAAAAAATGCTGATTACCACCTGATGGTGGCAGTACATTCCCCCAAAACTCCAGCAAGCAAGCTGAAAGACCCAAGCAAATATAAAGACGACTTTCTGTGCTGCAAGACCAGAGATTCACCCTAAGGAGTCCTTCTCTGAAGACCATGCATATCTGACTGCTTAAGGATTTCTCTCTCAGCAAAATACAGTTTAATCTCAGGTAAGAGGACCTAGGATAACAGTCAGGAATGAGAAAGAAAGGAATCTAAATAATGTATCATTTCATAATTGAGGTGGATGGTGGGAATAATGCAGCATTACCACACTAAAGTGATTATGAGATACAATTTCAGAACAAGGGGAAGATAAGCATGCAATAGAACTACCAAAATCTGGAAAGGTTAACTGGCATGTTTAGTAGTATTGTAGTCTGATTTTTTAAAATATATATATCAACTTTGAATTCTTAACCAAATCATTTTTTAAGTAAGAGTTGAAATTGGGAATTATTATTATTATTTTTGCATGAGAAAAGCACTGTATGCTATATTGGGGACTGAAGTCTGTTTTGTTTTCACTTTTGTTTTTGGGGAAACATTTATAGCTGAACTTACTTTCTACATTTATTTGCAGAAAAGGATAGATGGCAAAAACAAATCACACCTTGGTGTATGAATTCATCCTGCTTGGATTTGCTGGGTCGCCCGAATTACAGATTTTGCTCTTCCTTTTATTCCTGATAATTTATTTCATTACCTTGCTAGGAAATTTTGGGATGTTTCTGTTAATCCAGACAGACTCTCGACTTCACACCCCCATGTACTTCTTCCTTAGTAACCTGTCATTACTTGACCTTTGCTATTCTTCTGTGGTCACCCCAAAGATGTTGATAGATTTTCTAACAGAAAGCAAAACCATTTCCTTAAGGGAATGTGCAGCACAAATGTGGTTTTTTGCCTTTTTTGTGGCTGCTGAATGTTATCTCTTAGCCTCTATGGCTTATGATCGGTATGTAGCTATTTCTCATCCATTGCTTTATACGGTTATGATGTCTAGGAAAACATGCCTGTTACTCTTAGTTCCACCTTGTTTTGCTGGACTATTAAATGCCATGACACACACAGTTATGACTTTCCAACTAACTTTCTGCAAGTCCAAGATCAATCATTTTTTCTGTGATATCCCTGCTGTCATATCCCTCTCCTGCTCTGAGACACAAATCAACAAGATGGTGCTTTTTATCATGT